CATTTATAGGGGCATGTATATATTCGGGCCAGAATTTGAACGTGCATTTAGAGAGGGTGTGCACTTAGAGGGTGAACTTATGAAGGTTTTGCTATATTACTACCAGAACACAAACAAGCGTTTCAAGTTTTTTTTTTAATAATTTAATGTTTAGTTTTAATAATATTTATATATTTATTGTTCAAGTAGGTAAAGGCTAATTTTAAGATTCTATTTAATATAAAAATATTGACATATGTTAACTTGGAGTCCAAGTATTACATTCGTCTATAAGAAAAATCTACCAAAAAGAAATATTTAAATGTTGCAGCCAAACAATTTCGATTGACAGAAGTGTCGCTGTCATTATATGATATGGAGGTAATGGTATTGTAAAAAAAAGAAAAAAATTTCAAAGATATAAAACTTATTTAACTAATTTAACTTTCATTGTTCATATAGCTCGGTTTTTGAAATAGCGTATTAAATATACTACTTAATTCCCATTTCGCTCTATCATCTATCGCCGGATGTCTGTAATCACTTAACAAGTCATCATCCATATAGTCATAATGATTATCTCGCTCTTCCTCTTCTTCTTCTAATCTGGCAGTCTCCTCATCAATTAGCATTTGCTCCCAGTCACGTAATTGATTTTCCCAATCATCAGTACTAGTTAAGTTTGATGGTTCAATATCCTGTTCTTCATCAACATCCGTATTATCTAAATCTGTATTTAATTCACTGGATTCATCGGTATTTTCATTAATAGGTGTTGCACTTGACTGGTTGAACTTAGTATCACATGTATGACTTTGCTTTTTTCGGTGAGAGAAGTTAATTGAGGCACGAATTTGGCTCATGGCTAATACTTTTTCATTCTATATATATATACAGTATATATATATTTTTTTTTTAAAAAAAAAAAAAAAAAAAAATTATCAAATGAACCAGAAAAAACTTACTGGCAGACGGTTGCGACGGTTAGTATGAAGAAATCCTATTGAGCTCCATAGTCTCTCCACAGATGCTGCATTAACTCAAATTCCAAATAAACGTACAGCCAATGGACCTAATTCTCTAGTTGAGGAAGCAGCAAATTCCCAGAATACCAATACACTTTCCTTAAATTGTTCATATGTCGCAGAGTCAAAGGGATACTTACATTTTCTGTACTCTTCTAGCTCAAGTAAAATACAAATTGGTCGGCGTCCAAACCATGCTTTGTAATAATAAGTAACAAATTGGGCCAGGTATGTAAAGTTAAGATTTTCATTATTATTGAACCATGTAGTATGAATATTTGGATTTAAAAGAAAAGATAATAACAGTAATGGTTGCTCCCACTGCTTCCATCTTTGTTCTAACCGCAAAATCATACGTTGAGCTAAATCATAATCTTGATATTCCTTCCACATTCTCAAAATTCCACCAAAAGCTTGTAGTACTTCATAAAGACGAGCAGTATCTGATTGTAATTTGTTAAGAGCTCCACAATACGGAAGAAGTAAAGAATGTAATCGTGTTATCAAATGCCAGAAGTTATCATTAAGTAGAATTTCTGTTATATTTTGAGGAAGGTAAAGTTTATCTAATCTGTTTAAAGACTGATTCGATTCTTCTTCATTAGAGTTATAGCCTGAAATTTCCAAAGGAGATTCAAACGTAGTAGCCAAATTCTTAAAAATTTGTTTAAGTTAAGTGTTATTTAAATTAATTATTTTAAATAAAGTTAGCAGTTAGCAAATGAATTATTTTTTAAAAAAAATTTATTTTTATCCGAATTAAAGTCACCCAAAATATTACTATTAATTCTAGTTATTAGAAGGATATAGGCGATTTTAATTCAGGTGAAAATATTTTTTATGTGAAACGGTATATAAATTTTTTTTTAAATACTAACTCTTAAAGCCTGTCGAGATTTTATTAGGCTTTTAAAACAGTAACAATACGAATTCCAACGGGTGTCACCTGGACAAATTAAAGTAATATATTTCGAATATTTTTGTTTTTGAACGTCTCGAAGCTTTCCAATAAAATATGAATTAAGCGCATTGTTAAAATAGCTAACTATTTTTATTGATTTTTTCATTGCAGATTTGAATTCAGTAGATTCCTTGAATATTTCGCCCATGGTTAAGTTACATTGATGAGCGAAACACGGCAAAAACACAATTTTTGGATATTGTAACCTTAATCGACGTCTATTAAAAATACTTTGAGCAAAATTTTAAAGCAAAATATATCAATAATATAATTTTACCTGGCAGCAGAATAGGCTGGTGCACTATCAGAAACAATTGCTGACAATTTTACTCCCATACTCGACGCATCTCCAATCATGCTTTCTATTTTAGGAATAACATTAACCATTCTTTCTCTCTCAGAACTAATATCAATTGCCTCCCAAATTTGAACTTCTCCAGTTGATAAAATAAAAAGTGAACCGAAAATATGTTGATTTAAAACATTTTTCCACCCATCAAATGCCAAGGTAACCCCAATATTATCTTCCTTTAATTTTTGTTCTCGTGAATTTATAAAATTTTTTCTTTCTGCATTAAGGATACGATTAGATAATACATACCGACTAGGAAGCCTAAGTGACGGATTTAAGAAATTAAAAAACTCTCGAGTTTCTGGATTTGTTATCCAACGAAATGCCCATCCATTCGATACTGTCATCCGAAGCAATAATCGTTCAAATTTTGGTCTATCTCTCGCAGCAATATCTTTGACAACGAAGTTAGACACGGCTGATGCCCTTTTTTTTAACTTTTTATTTGATGTGGGCATTGTCGAGGAAACACTAGAAGTTAAGTCACTTGTGCAATTATCGTCATCTATTCAAAAAAAAAAAAAAAAGAAATATATATAAATATATATTTATACAAAATATCTATCAAATATTTACAAAATTACCTGACATATCAGTGTTTGAATGCTTTTTTGAAGTTTGAGAAGACTTCTCTGCTTCATTATCTGTCCTATTACAATATGCGTCTACCGCATCTTGAGACCCAAGCTTAGCAAGAAAATGGGTACATTTTTTTAAGTGGTTTCGAACAATATCTTTTTTATTGGTTATTGGATCCTTTAGAGCTTCATCACGGCCGAGACTTTCTTCACAAGCTTTACATATACCATAGGTATTGTACTTGTTGTTAGGCTTCGTACCAATTATGATAATATCATTAGTGAATCTATGTTTTTCAGGGCCGCCAGTATGTTTCCGTGCCATTTTAATTAGAAAGTGTCTAGGTAATTATGTTTATATTTTTGTTTATTGTTAGCGAATATAGATAATATTATCGTTTGATATGAAGAATTTATTACAAACTACAAAAGATAAGTAGAAAATTTCTCTTCTTCCTCCGAATTATATACTTTATTGCACAATACAAACACTTCAATGCCCTAAATATTATCTCTTCTTCTGTAGATTTTCACATGCTATTTTATTTTTCAAGCAAATTGCCTACATTACAACGATGTAATAATGTCTTATCAATTGAAGATTTACGATTCGAATTTCTATAATTATAGTTCAGTTCCACTTTTTTAACGGCGCATTATTGAAAGTCACATCACTATACATAATCTAACAACTGGTGAGGAAAGAGCACTACATTATTTCAGCCATAGATTCACGCAGATTAAATGCTACCGCATCTTTTATTGAAGGTTTATTATAACCGAACTAACAAAGTAAGAATTACGAGTGCTTCTTGTTTTTTATTACGTAAGGAGGCTTTTTTTCTTTATTAAAATATACATTTACATTTTTTTTTATACATTTTTTTCTCTGAACTCTATGCTACTTTATTAGAGCTTTATATTGACATTGAAATTACAATTGGATTCCATGAGAATAGGTACTGTTCTACAATAGCGCTTTTCAAACATTTTTGGATCTGTTTACCAAAAAAAAGATGCCAATTATTGCAAATAATTGGATCTAGAACCGGTTCCTTGAAACATATATCTTTATTTGGTAAACAGGTCCCGAATGCTTGAAAAGGCTCTATTGTAAAAACCATTCCCATGGTTTATGCACAAATTACAATCGAAGATGCTAATCATTGTAATAATCAGATACAGGACCAGTTTCGTGAAACAAGCATATGCTTCTACTGTAATTTGAGCATATTAGTTAGTCATAACCCATTTTGTACTAATTACTTTTTTTTTGATGAAACGTAACGAGATTTTATGCAGCATTTTAGCTTGAACATACGTTATCAAATTCATACGTATTCGAAGGGATATTAAAGCCTGGTCCAGGTCCCAAGTCAAACTTGGGATTCGACTCGCATTGCACGTGCATCTTGAACTTTTTATAGCAAAAAATAAAGTGTATTCATGCATACTTTGCATGCGTACTCTCTTTTCAGTACTATATTAATATACAAGATGCATGTGCAATGCGAATCGAGTCCCAAGTTTAACTTGGGACCAGACTTTAGCAAAAAATTGACTCTTTAAAGTCAAATCGGACCGGACTGAATTTTTAATATCCCTAAAGATAAGTACTTTAATGTGTAGATTTGGGCATCAAAAAGAGCGTGGGGATTTTTTTAATTTCTGTATTGTGACAATATTCGGGTTATATATTCTAATTAAATGATGCAAAAATAGTGGCAAAATTTTTGTAATGCTTGTAGTTTACTTAAGAATATTAAAATGTAAAAAAATTCTGTTTACTACTGTATTACTATATAAATAAAATAATTATTTTATTTAAAAAAACAAAGCTTTTGAATTTTAACGAAGATTAATTCACAATGAGTAACGGAAAGTTGAAAGCCACTGGAAGCCATTGGAAGCCACTGGAAGTCACTAGAACCTTCCTCCAGTGCTAAAAATCTTCACCGGAAGAGTCCAGTGACAATCTACCACTGGAAGCAAATATTTTGATTATTTGTTCCAGTTAAGTCCAGTGATCATCCAGTTCCAGTAATTTTCACTGGAACGTTCCAGTGGACAACACTG